TTACAAACTTCTGCGTTTATTTGTTACAATAGCTGAGAAATCTCATCCTTTTTTCCCCTTCCCGCCCCCCCCAGCTTTACTGGGGTATAACTGAAAAATAAAATTGTAAAATATTTAAAGTGTACATTGTGGTGATTTGATTTTTGCCCCTTTTTAATTTTCATTTTAAGTTCTTTTTCTTAGCACAGATTTCCAGTGCTTGGAGTAAAAGATTTCAGGCACACTGATGTCACACCAGAGTTAAGGGCTATTGAAGCATTATTTACTTCAACTGCAAAGCCATTTAGATGACTGTGTTTCGTATTTCCAAAATGGTTTAGTAACAGCTACCACAGAGCATACTCTGTGAGCACTGTGCTAAGTGCTTTTATTTGAATCACCTCATTTACTATTCACAAAACCCTATGAAAAGGTACTGTTATTATCAAGATTTTTAAAAAGATTTTATTTATTTATTTATTTATTTATTTATTTGAGAAGGGGGTGGCACGCGAGTGGGGGTCAGGGCAGAGGGAGAGGGAGAGACAGAATCCCAAGCTGACTCCACGCCAAGCATGGAGTCAAGGTGGGGCTCAAATCAAGAGTTGGTCGTTTAACCAACTGAGCCATCAGGCACCTCTATTACCAAGATTTTTTAAGAATTAAAAGCTGTGATCTAAACTGGTTAAAGAATTAGCCAAGCTCAAATAGCTGGTATATTTTGGAACTAGAATTTGAATTCATGTAGTCTGACTTCAGAGATGCATGCATCTTGCTTTCCATGGTGGCTTCTAAACCAGTTCTCTTTTATCCTCTTTCAAAAGCCTCAGCTCCTCTGGATTTGTTCCTTCTGTCTATAGTCCCAGTTACTGCAGCTCTCCAGAACCACATTCTGATGTCCTCATCTGTCCCTTTTAATTCACTAAAGTTCCTGGCTTTGTTAAGAAAAGCACAGGCCCCAAATGGAGTCACTTAGGTTAAAGGCCTCACATCAGCAAAGCAAGACTTAATACCTAACCTAATTGCAGTTTCAGTTCCCACAGGAACGTGGAATTACCTGGTCAGTACCAGAAAATATACCGATAGGCCCCTTCCATTCCCCTCAGGAGGGTTACCTTGCCTAAAACAATGCATTCTTTGCTAATAATTTCCTTTATTCTCCTCTCTGCCTTTAAAAACTGTCCCCTTTCTACAGCTTGATGGAGCTTTTTTCTATTTGCTAGACGGGATGCTGCCCAATTCATGAATCATTTAATAAAGCCAATTAAATCTTCAAATTTACTCAGTTGAATTTTTGTTATTAAACAGCTCTTTCATCACCATTTTCTTGGCAACCTCTACTCTTGTCAATCCATTAACCCTATCCACACTCACACATACACCTCATTCCCCTTAACTTCCCTCCATACCCAGCTGAGATTCCATGATCCTTCGTGATTATCATCTTCTTGCAAACACACAATCCCCTTACTCTTCACTTTCTTTTTCATCACGCTCAAGGGGGCAAAAAAGCCACAACCTTGACTAAAACTAACTGTTCATCTCTTCTGGAGAAATTGGCATATGTAGGCTGCATGGTTTTAAATTCATGATCAGAAACACCAAGTAGTGTGTCAGCAGCAATCCTTAGTATGCGTCTCCATTGCTTTCATGTTCTTCAAGCCGTCTCTTTCCTATTTTCCCCTCTGTTTTCAAACCTCCCCCAATCTCTCCCTCACCCCACTCTTAGCTGATGATCTTGCCTCCAATTTCATTGAGAAAATAGGAATGATCAAGGTGGAAGTCCTTTACAATCCCCCCTCCAAGTCTACAAGGCTATCTGTCCATGCATTCATCTTCTTTGTTTCCCTCTTAATATCTTACGGGCACTACTTCTATCAAAGGCACTCTTTCTTTTTTTTTTTTTTTTTCCCTAAGATTTATTTATTTAGGGGGCCTGGGTGGCTCAGTCCATTAAGCATCTGCCTTCGGCTCAGGTCATGATCCTAGGGTCCTGGGATCGAGCCCCACACTGGGCTCCCTGCTCAGCGGGGAGTCTGCTTCTCCCTCTCCCTCTGCTTGTGCTCTCTCTCCCAAATAAATAAAATCTTTTAATTATTTGAGAGAGAGAGAGGGAGAGAGAGTGGAGGCAGGGGGCAGGGGCAGCAGGAGAGGGAGAGAATCTCAAGCAGACTCCACGCTCTGTGCAGAGCCCAACACATGGGCTTGATCTCAGAATCCTGAGATCAGGACCTGAGCTGAAAGCAAGAGTTGGATGCTTAACCGACAAAGCCACCCAGGCACCCCTCAAAGGCACTCTTTCTCCTGGTACTTCAGATTCCATTCCTTCTTACCACCGCAAGGCTTTTGCTCATTGTTACCTGTTTTCTCTCTCCCTGCATCATTAATATTTACCTCCCTATTGGATCATGCCCAGGAATATACTTCCTTTTTATCTTTCATTAAAAATACAAAAAGATACAAATGTAAAAGATACAAATCTAGCTTAAATTAGTCAAGCTAGACATCAGCTTCTAAAAGACGGAGGTGAATTTGTTCAAGGTACAGCACATATTCAGCAGGGCACCAGGCAGTTCATGTCACATGAGCCCTGCTTTTTTTTTTTTAATTTAGGATTTATCTTGCCCTGAAATTGTAATCCCTTTCTCTTGCCTTTGCTTTCTAATGAGAAGCAGCATTGTAACTGGGGTTTAAATAGAAAATAGTATCATGTAAATTATATGTTTATCAGTTTTTTCTTTTTTCATATGGTATAGTTCTGTCAACTGAAGCAGGCAGAGGAAAAGGCATTTTTTAGAATTTTCTCAAATAATGAAATATCTAGATAGACACTTTAAATATAATGTAGTTACAGGAAATAGTGAAACTTGAATGATCAGAATGCAAAAATGATGACTTCTTCAGAGAAGTGTGTTTCTTCTAGTTAGAGATTGCAACAATAGCCTCATATCAGAAAGCTTTGGTGGCTTTTGACATCTTTCTTTGGAAAGAAAACAATGGGGAGCATTTTCAGTCTATGAAAAAGTATAGGCATTAAGGCAGTGGGATACATCAGAAAAAACTTGGGTTTTTGGAGTTGGACTTGTGTGTAATAGTATGCTTACTAGTTTTGTGATATTGAATTAATCTTTTTGTGACTCAGTTTCTATAAAATGGGGATCATAATACCTACAAGATTATTATGATTATTAATTAAAATAACAAATTTAAAATAAGCAAAAGCTCAATAAAAAGGCTCTCTCTTTTTTTTTTTTTTGATCCCTGTAGTCACAGGATTTCCTTTTAATACCTCATGAAAGGTAAAGATTGACTTGGATAGGCAGATTTATTCATTAACAGCATAGAGATAAATTTTCTTAAGGTAGGCAGACAAAATGAGGAAAACTTTTGAAAAGAACAGTGGTGGCCATCCCCAGTATAGTGGTTTGGGACAGTTCTCTCCTAACTGTTTTGTTATTGTTGTTTTTAAGTAGGCTCCACGCCTAGCAATACTGAGATCCAGACCTGATTATCAAGAACAAAATGCTTAACCAACTGAGCTACCCAGGTGCCTTCCTCCACTTACTTGTTTATCAGTGGTACAGAATAGCAGCATTTATCTTTCTCTTTCACTACCCTTTAAATGATCGACCTATTAGTAGTGTTTCGAAAAAAAAAAAAAATCTAAGTACAGGAAACATCGACACTCAATTTGTGAAGGCGATTTATTTGCATGCTACTAAAAAATGGAAAGCGAACCACTAAATAGAGGCAAATGGGCAAAAGCTGAATACAAATGAACCTCATGTATTTGAGGTTGGTAGCAGCTCATTTTGTGAGCTTGTATATCGGGTGAGGCGCCACATGTCAAGCAAGAATCAAGACCAGTTTTGTACCCTTGTTCCTTTGGCTCCTGACCAGTCAAAGCCAACCAGTACGAGATCATGTTAGCAGATCTAAGTAGTGTTTCGATAAAAATCGGAAGCCAGATACACAAACTCCGCAATTTAAGAGGAGTTAAGTTGTGTGGATAAACTAATGCCCTTTTAAAAAGTTGACTTGGTTTCGCAATCGGAAGAAATGACAAGAGTAGCCAACTTTTTAAACCAGTGATTACATTCAGTAATTCAGGGAGGTCATTCCATTTTAATTTTTTTTTTAATTTGTTTGCTACGACAGGGTACTTTCTAAGATCCGTTGAGAAAAATCTTTCTTTTCTTCACTCTGGGTTGTTTTTATGCCGAACAACTAAAAAAGTGCTTCTGGAAATTCCCCCACGGCACTTTCGTAGTCTTTCTAGGGCACTCTTTAAATCTAGACCCATTCCTAACCAACTTCTACTTTTCCCACCAGCCATATTCTTTAGCTTCTCCAGTTCTCAACTTCCTAAATCTTCAACCTCACCCCTCAAATTAGCCCAATCAAACTTTCCCTTCTTAGACCTCTCCCTTACGTTCGCTCCAGGAAACTCCCCTGATAATCACGTGACCAAACTTGTCCTTAATGGCGCTCCGTAATTCTCCTACTGTTCCACCGCCCTTCCTTACCTCCTATTAGCTCCGCCCCACCCCATTCTAGCTCCCCCTTCCCAATCCCCCAAGTGCCTGCGCCTGCGCATCTCCAATTCAGGCGCTTTCCCTTTCCTGGCGACCAATCCACTTCCTGCCTTCGGTCCTTGGAACACTCCTCCCCTCTGCTGGGGACCTGACTTGAGGTACTGGTTGTGGCTGCCCCATTCATTGCCTGTCTGAAAAACTCGCTCTTCTCATCTGGTGGACAATTTGAGCCAGCCTGTATGTGTGTCGCACGTGTCTGCGCCTTTGCTCGCGATCCGTCACTCCATGGTTAAGCTAAGGGCATCGATATGCCGGGGGAAGGGAGATCCGGACAGTTTTCGATCAGGCATACGTCCGAACAGCTTTTTCCTTTCCTCCTCCCTCCGCCCCGCCCCCACTCGCAGCCCGGCCGCGCTGGTGAGTGGCGGGCGGGAGGGCCGGCGGGCGGAGGGAGGAGGGAGAGCTGAGGGAAGGCGGGCCCTCGGCTGCGAGATAGGTGGGGGGAGGGGAGGGGAGAGCCCGAGCGCTGGAGTTGGTGCTGGGAAACCCGGGGCTAATGTTGACAACAGGCTCGAGGTGAGTCCCGGGGAACCTCCTTCCCCTCCGCTCCAACGATCGGGAGGGAGCGGGGTTGGGGGGCACCGGCCTGGACTCCTACTCCCTGAGGGACCCAAGAGCCGACTCCGCACCCCAGCGCTCCGGGGGCGGCGAGCAGTAGACGGACCGCAGCTCCGGCGTCGTCCTCCTCAGACCCCTCTCCCGGAGGCTCCCATCAACGCGGGCGCCCCCGGCCCGAGGCACACATGAGGGGCGGTCGAGCGGGTGTCTGCCCCACATGCCCGGGCTGGGCCTCGGGGCTGAAGGCGGGCAGCCTGCTGTGGCGGGGTGAAGGTGTTTGGGGGTGTGGAGTAGAGCGAGGGGAGGTTGGGGAAAGCTCTTCGGGAGCCGGGAGGAAAGCGAGGGCGAGGAAATGGGGAGGGTGCGTGTGTGGGAGGATGTGGAGTAGGGAGACCAGCCGGAGAGTCTCGGTCTCGGGTGGTGAGGGAGTGTGGGGTGAGAAGTTAGGGTTGGGGCAAGGATGGTCCGCGAAGGTGACCGAGGGTACCCGTAGGAAGGGGAGTTGTGGCGGGGAAGCGTGTGGGGTATGGGAATGTGCAGCAGGAGCAGGGGTTTGTGGGAGATGTGTGTGGAAGGGAAGGGGTTTCGGTGTTTGGGAATGGTGGGCAGGGGTTATTTGGTTTACTTCTTTTTAGTCACACAGGCTGAGGGTTCTTCGCTCTGCCTTCATCCCAGGGCTCCTAGTATTTACTCTCGTTGGTACTTTTGAACTGAGGAGATCATCACAGGGTATTTGGTCGTCAGGTTGGCCCGGCAGAGCCAGCTTACGGGTTTGGGGGTACACACGGAACCGGACCATCAGCTCTCCTGCTTTTTTAGAACCTGTATATAATGATGCATCAGACCAAAGTAAAACTATCACTCACCCTTATCATTTTTCGTAGTTTTTAGGTGTTTATAAAAATTGTACGACTCATCAAGAAAACCAGTTTTGAACTCTGGTGAAATTTGTAAAAACTTTGAATGAGTCCTTGATATTAAGGACTTTTTATAAAGCCACAGACTGGGAGATAAAGCCCCTGTGTGGTTCTGCCCTTAGGACATTTTGAATAACACAGAATTAAAAGGTGAAACAGCATTGTCTTCCTCTGGAGTATTTTCAGAGCAGTCTGATTGTGATTTCATACATAGTCCATATGGTACTTTGCTAAAGGACTATCTTTAAAAGGGAAACACCCTTACTCTGCACTCTGTCCTCCGGTACACTTTATTGGTACCTGTTTTGCTAATAAAGTAGTTTAACTTTCTTTTGGACATTCAGAGTATATTTAGAAAACCAAATAAAATATACACCCCAAGGGCCAGGGCACTACTTGGGAAGCTAGGAAGGTGGTTTTAAAACATGGCTTCCTTTTAAGGACTGGCTGTAATTGTATTCAGTAATTTGTAAGAACTAATGATATTCCAGTAAAAAGATCACTAATATTTATCCTGATTATTTTGAGATGAAATCTATTTAAAATTTTAGTTTTTACTTGAAAAAGTTTTTGAAATAGTTCAGATAAAATATTTGGCTGTTTATTAAAGCATGGACTATCAAAATATTTTAAAGAAATTTTAGCATTTCACTAAATACAGTTTAATTGACAGTACAAATGCATATGGATCCAAATTAGGTTGTTTGTATATTTTGTTTGGCTTTTAAAATCTTTTTTTTTTTAAAGATTTTATTTATTTATTTGAGAGAGAGAGAGAATGAGAGACAGCACGAGAGGGAGGAGGGTCAGAGGGAGAAGCAGACTCC